TATGCAGATGATACAACCCTGCTTGCTGAAACTGAAGAGGACCTGAAGCGCTTGCTGCAGAGGGTCAAGGACTGGAGCCTCCAATATGGATTGAGGCTCAATGTCAAGAAGATAAAGATTCTCACCACTGGACCAATTGGCAGCATCAGGATGGATGGTGAAGAGATTGAGATTGCACACAGCTTTAGTTTGCTTGTCTCCACAGTCAACACTCCTGGCACCAGTAGCCAGGAAATTCAAAGACGTATTGCCAAGGGAAAGTCGGCTGTTAGGGACCTCTCCAAAATGCTGAAGAGCAGTGGTGTCTCTTTGGGGACTAAGGTGCGTTTGATATAGGCCATGGTCTTTGCTGTCACTTGTTATGCATCAGAGAGTTGGACAATGACCAAGGAGGCTAGAAAGAGAATTGATGCCTTTGAGCTGTGGTGCTGGAGAAGAGTATTGAGGATACCATGGACTACTAGGAAAACACACAGATTCATCCTGGAAAGGGTCAAACCGGGCTGCTCCTTGGAGGCAAGGATTCTGAAGCTCCGTCTAACATACTTTGGACATGTTGCAAGGAGGGACAAGTCCTTAGAGAGAAACATCATGCTTGGTAGGGTGGAGGGACAGTGCAGAAGGGGAAGACCCCCTAGAAGGTGGGTTGATTCAGTGACTGGGGTCATCGGGATGGGTGTATCAGAGACGGTGCGATTGGCACAAGACAAAGCAGAGTTTAGGGACGTTGTACATAGGGTCACTATGAGTTGCAAGAGACTTGATGGCACATGACAACAACAACAACAACAACAACATGGCCTGAATCAGGTGCATCTTAGTCTCCAGACTGATATTGTTGCTCTTCAGCACTTTGGAGAGGTCTCTGACAGCTGACTGTCCCAATGCAAGTCCAAATTCAAGGTTCCCAGCTCTAGAGAAAGCTTTTCTCTGTTGGCTCTGGGCGGGGCAGGGAGGAAGGTTCTTGTCTTTTCTGCTTCAATTTCTTGGTTACTCAGTAATCCTCGGTAATCTCACGTGTCCTGGTTCCTCGGTAATCTCACATGTCCTGGTTCCTCAGTAATTTCACGTGTCCTGGCGCCCATCTTTCATCATTAGTGCTTCTTTGCTTAATCTGCTCCCATATCTCCAAAGAGATGGACTGAAGACACACCATACTGCCTCAGTAACACAACAAAGAAAACCCATCCCAAATGGGATTCAAAGCATAGCCATATAACCAACATTAACAGGGACCTCTGGTGGCCTAGTGGCAAGAAGCTGCACTGCAATCCCAGACGCTTGCAGTTTGAATCCACCAGCTGCTCTGCTGGAGAAGGAGGGACAATCTCCTCCTGTACCAGTCAGATTCGATTTGATGGTACACACACACACACACACACACACACACACACACACACACACACAAGAAAATAAAAAATAAAATAAAAATGAAAAAAAACTCCCAACACCGATAAAAAACAAAACAAAACTCATAGCACACAAAAAACCCACCCGATTGCAGTGCAGTGGATTCCCACTCGTAGTGGCCCCTGGAGTCTCCCAGGCTGTGGTCCATACAGGAGCAGGCTGCCACATCTTTCTCCTAGAGCAGCTTGTCCGTTCAGTCCAATGGCTGGCAGCTAAGCTCTCAGTCACAGCACCACCCGGCTCCTCACCCACAGTTTACAGGGTTAGGATTTACGTGATTTATGACACATGGTTTTGGGAACACAGTCCAGAGCAGCCACCGTGGACCCAGGGAGGATTGCAGGCTGGACCAGTGCCAACCGGGAGCATTCACCACACCCTTCCTGGGTATGTGGACAAGGGGTGGCAGGTGGCGACTCCGGCAGGGGCAGGGAAGGCACAGAAGGTGTGACACAGAACGGAATCATGTGGTTAGGAGTGACCCAGAGGCTATTTTAGATGGGAGGCCAGGGAGGGCCCTCCTGAGATCGGGTGACAAGGGGGAGGTTGCTGGGGAAGAAGGCAACGTTTGGCGAGGACGAGGAGGGCATGTTCTCGGCATGGCCCAGAATAGCTGGGGCGGAGCTGAGCGAGCAGCTGTTAACTTTGGTTTTGCTCTGAGTGATTTGGGAGCCATGGAGGGTTCTGGGTAGATAAGGACTTGGGGGTCCACCGATTCCCTCTTGTCTCTGGTGGGACAGACTTGGGGAGAAGGTGGGATGGATGAGCCGGGAGACCAGGGAGGAGGGACAGTGTGGTTCTGGGTATAAGAGGTGGGGTGGCTGAGCTCAGGGGTGGAAGGAGCCATCAGATACTGGGTAAGGGAAGGGAGACCTAAACTCCAAACCCAACCTCCTGTCACTCAATCCCAATGCTCAGATTCAAACTGTCCCATATGGTTCCCATGGCCGTCACCCGCACAGAAGGGTCTCGTCTCTTACAGAGCAGCTACTGGGTTTGAACTGGTGCCCTTTTGGGTAGCAGAGAATGCCTTAACCACGGAACTACCTGAGGGCTGGGGAGACTTGGGATTGGAAAGTGGGAGAGATCTAGATTGGAATGGGGGGTGGGTAGGGACAACCCGGGGATGCAGCAAGGCCTAGGATGGCTCCTAAGTTTGGATGGAAGAAACTGGGCGAGGAGCGGGCATGAAGGGACCAGATGGCGCCCAGGAGCAGAGAGAGGCGGGAGTCAAGACACATGGAAGGTGGGGAGGAAGGAGGCTTGTTGAAGGATCAGCTCCCAGAACCCACCTTAAGCTGCTGAGAAAACACCCCACAATTTGAGCAAGTTCTCCAACTTCCTGTGAGGCACCCTACCTCAATGCATCAACCTTTCCCCCTGCTTTTCTTTACAAAAGTCAGTTTACAGTCTATGCTGGGAAAGAGAGGAGACAAAGAATTTTTCTCAGGATCTTAGTCCTGGTGACTTTGATTAAAATTTTTTTTTTTCCTTTAAAAAATGTTTGCTTGAATGGATAGAGCAGCTCTGGTATAGTCACACAATGGAACCTTACGTTGCATTGAAAAACAAGGAACTCATGAAATATACAAAAGGGTGACCCTGGTGAACATTATGTTGACTGAAATATCTCAGTCACAATAGGACAAATATTGCATAGTGCCACTGTTATAAAACGGGACTGACCTTGGGGTTGGGGGTAGACTGAGAAAGATGGAATAAATTATGTATACTGCATTGAAACAGATGAGGGAGAGAACTGTTTAAAAGGGCTGGCTATATGATTAGGTATTATTGTCATGACAGGAGTCCAGAACAAAGGCTGCACAGTGGCGTGAAGTTGGGGGGAGGGATTGTATAACAATGAAAGAATTTTTCTTTTATTTTTCAATGAGTGAACTTGGGGGGGAGGGGTGGGCAGGGAGAAAAGTACAACATTGAATGAATGGAAATTTAAAAAAATTTTGCTCTTGTTGTTCTGTGCTGTTGAGTCTCTTGCAACTCGTAATGACCCTGTGTACAAGAGCCCTAAACCCTGCTCTATTCTGTGTGTAAACCTTATTGTCTCTGACACACCTACCCCCATTGCCTGAGTGCATTTTATGTATTTATGTCTCTGTATTCAACATGGCAAACGTAGTAAAATTTTCTCCTCCCACGAACCCCTGTCCCCTTTGGCCCATCCTCTGGACATATTTATGTGACCATCGTGATGCATGTCCTGGGGCATGCAGAAGCAAGCACAGGGGGCACTGTTGTTAGTTACTGCCCAGTAAGCCTGGCTTCCACAGTGACCCCTGTAGGGACCGGACTGTCCCTTAGGAAGTTTTGTTTTTTGGGTTTTATTCCCCTGCCTGTAATCTTTCTGAGAGCAAATTGCCAGGCCTTCCTTCTGAGGTGACGCTGGGTGAATGTGAACCACTGACCTTTAGGTGAGCAGCCAATCACAAGCCAGGGTCCTCAGTGCGGCATGTGAATATAGCAGATCTGTGTGGTCACCCTCATCTGTGGACCTGGACAAGCTGGCCATTGTGAGGATGACTCGGGTGGGTAATGCTTGCTTCCGTTGCATATAAAGTTGTTTTAGGCAGCAAACAACCACATCCTCATCCGCATTTTATTTTTACACAAATCATAGCAGTCTGGGCCCCAAGATGCATGGTGCTTCTCTTCGAAATGGTAAATTCTAGTGACAATTTTTAGTGTCTTTTTTTGAGTGCCAGCTATGTGGTTAGTTGAAATAGCAATAACAGGGGAGCTCTGGTGGCCTAGTGGCAAGGAACTGCAACTACAATCCCAGAGGCGCACGGTTCGAATCCACCAGATCCTCTGCCGGGGAAGGAGGGAAAATCTCCTCCTGTACCAGTCAGATCTGATTGGACGGTACACTCACACAAAAATAATAAAATTAAAAAAAAAAGATAGCAATAACAAAGCAGCATGGAGTCTTGAGCTTTTTGCTGCATGACTGTTGAGGGTCTGAGAGTCATTCATTGCATCCTATGAGGTGGGGCTGGCTGTTCTTTCTAGAAATAAGGACACTAGGTCTTAGTGGGGCTGCCCCACTAAGAGATGCTGATGTTTTATAAGTTCATCTCTCTTTGACCAGCATTTAGGACAGGAAGCTCCGAAACTGAGTAGACAGATTTGTAAGGAAGGTTCCTGAGGGAGCCCAGAAGATAGGTGCCATCTAGTACAACTGACAGGGAACCGACAGATCTGAACCATGTCCTATCCTGTGCCAACCTTACAATCTTTTTTTTTTTAAAAAATTATTTGTGTGTGTGTGTGTGTGTGTGTGTGTGTGTGTGCATGTAGCATCAAATCAGATCTGACTGGTACAGGAGGAGATTGCCCCTCCTTCTCCAGCAGAGCACCTAGTGGATTTGAACCACACACCTCTAGGATTGCAGTGCAGCTTCTTGCCTCTAGGCCACCAGAGCTCTCAGCCTTACAATCTTTGACACCCTTGAACTCACTCTTGCTGTATGTAGTCACTGTAACAGTTCTCCCGGTTGAGGGTCTTCCTCTCCTTTGCTGACCCTCCACCTTTCCACGCCCTTGAGTAGATTCCAACTTGTCATCCCACTGGGCAGAGGAGACCTGCCTCACAGGTTTTCAAAGGCTGTTAGCTTTCCAGAGTCAGTCACTTCTCTCTCATGTAGAGCAGCTGGTGAATTATAACTTCTGATCTCTTGGTTAATGACTAAGCACTTAACCAGTGTCACCAGTACTCGTACAGCAACCATCTGTTGTTGTTAGACACTGCCGTCCAATCTCCCCTAACTCACAGTGACCCCGTGGAAAGCATCGTTCGCATGTTTGAACCCGCTGTTGCAGCCACCGTGTTGATACATCGCATTGAAGGTCTTCCTCTCCTTCGCTGACCCTCTATCAAACATGATGTCCTTCTCCAGGGACTGGTCCCTCCTTAGAATACGGGAGAGGAAGTCTTGCCATCCTTACTTTGTAGGCGAATTCTAGCTGTCCTTCTAAGAGATATGTTCACTCTTCGGTCAATCCATGGCACAACTGAGTATTAGCAAAGGAGAGATTGAGGCACACGGTTGAGGTCACGCAGTCAGGAAGGGGTGGAGCTGGGATTTGAATGCAGGGTGCCTGGCCCCTTGCTCAGCAGGAACACTGACATGCAGGAGAGCTCTGAAGTTGTGTGTGTGCTGGAGGGTGGCTGAGAGTGGGTGTAGGGGCTTAGGCTGAGAAGTGAGACCAGAGAACCAGAGGATCGCAGCCTTAAAAATGGGGAAACTCTTTGGCCCAAACCTGATATCACCCAATTCTCTCTCTTCTTTTTCTTCAAAGAAAATGCCTCCAGATGAAGCAGCTGCAAGCCTAGATGGTCACTCTGGCTCCACCATGGGCCCTGGAGGTGCTGGGCCCCGGAAGAGACCCACCTCCACATCCTCCTCACCTGACCTCCCTGAGTTCAGCACTTTCCGGGCCCCAATTTGAGCATGGGCCCCCTGGCCCCGTGTCTGTACACCCTCCACTTGGCCCTCTCCTTCAAGCTGGCTGAGCCATTCAAGGTCTATGCCCTTTCCAGCTACTTCTTGGGGCTCCTGCTGCTCTTTTCTCAGGGAACTGAACAGATGAGATGAAGGGGCCTGGGCCTCAGCCCTTCCTCATGGAGGATCAGGAAAGGAGGGTGTAGGCATTGGCTTCCAGCCTGGGCACAAAACAGGAAGCCCCTCCAGATGCCCCTCAGGAATGCCGAAAGGGGCATGAGGATTAGCTTTGGGGCCCCTAACTGGGCGACAAGAGGTCTGTTCTCTCCTCAGGCCCCTCCAAGCCCCTCTCCAGCACTTGCCTCAGGCACAGGTGTCTGGAGCTCAGGGTATTTAGGGGGGGTATGTTATTTTGAAAAAAAAAAAAAAAGTCAGGGAGCTCTGGTGGCCCAGTGCAAAGAGCTGCACTGCAATCCCAGAGGTATGTGGTTTGAATCCACCAGATGCTCTGCTGGAGAAGGAGGGGCAATCTCCTGTACCAGTCAGATCCGATTTGACGGTACACACACACACACACACACACACACACACAAATTCTTTGTTTCTTTAAACAGTTTTACACAAACATACTTGGGTGTCCTTTCCGCTGCTTTGCCTAAATTATTAAGTATAACATGTATTGAACTGTTCCCAAGACCTTTCTGGAGTGTAATTTTTTTAAGCCTGGTACCCTCAGGGCCAGTCACTGGGTATCTGGCAGTGGGATCACACCTGTTCAGCGCTGGTCAGGGTGGGTATGGGGGGGACCTGTGGGCTGGGAAGCGTGCTGCATTGGATGTATGCTGAGGTGCGTACAGGCATAAATGAAGAGGTGGGGGAAAGGTGAGAGCTAAGGAGGATGGTAAGTGGTCCCAAAGCCACCTTGGACCTACCAAAAGGGGATGCTGGGATGGAAGATATGTCTATGGGAAGAAGGGATACTTGGATTCTCTGCTGGACTTATTGCCGTCATCATGGGGGTTAAGAAAGAGTTTTTGAAGATGGGGCATTTGAGAAAGGGGATTGGAGAGGTGATAGGAAAGGCCAGGGATGAGAGGGTGGAGGGAAAAAGGGGAGAAGGGGTTAAAGGGGGGAGGGGTGGAAGGGGCAGCAGTAGATTGCTGGGTGAGGGGGAGCCCAGATGGGATTTGGGCTGGGGACGTAGGACTGGATCTTTCTCAAAGGGCCTTTTCAGCCCTGGACAAGGGGGCCAGGTGAGGCCAAGGGCTGGAGGCGTGTCTCGCAAGGACCGGGACCTCCCAGTGCGGGTTGCATCACAAAGGAGTCTCAGTGGGAGGGAGCAGGGACATTTGGGGGCGGAGCTTCCTGGCTACCAGCCAATCCCCTGCTCCGCGGGCCGCCTCACAAAGCCGGGCGGGGCCGGGGACGGGGGCCCAGACGCAGGGGCGTGTCCGAGACGTGCAGCCCGACCCGGGAGCCGCCTCTCAAAAACGCGACCGTTGGGGCGGGGCCCCAGGCGTGACCGCGCGGCCTATCCCCGCCCCCTGACGCACGTTCCCGCCGCCTCCGCCACTGGGCTGCGGAATCACCTCACAAAGCAGCGACCGTTCACGTGGGGCGGGGCTGGGTGCGCGTGCGCGAGGCCCGGCCCCGCCCCCGGCACGCTCATTCCCCGCGCTCAGGACCACCGGCAG